AATGTCAACAAATTTAGTTTATCATATTGATAATTCAAGAAACCTTCCATTTATGATAATGTTTATAATTAACAACATATTTAAATTAATAAATTACATATATTATGTGGAAATATGAAAAGTTGGGAGTTTCAAATTGATGTGGTGAAAGGAAAAATGCTTCCTTTATAATATAGTATATGATATGAACTTTTTTTAACTATTATAACTATTAATGAATTAAAATCAACTTAACTGAATTTTAATTATTATAAAAAATCATATTCAGACAACTTTTAGTTAATTCTGATTTTAGATTTAGGTTCTTTTATATTTATCGTATTTAATATTTTCCTTTTAAATATTTTAGAAAACTAGGTTAAAACCCGTGAAACCCACAGGTGATAATTTTAAATAGAATTAAAAAATTGATTATATAATAAATTAATATATCATTAATTTAGGAAAACTTATGAATTGTAATATTATATTTTTTTAATAACTTTGTAATTTGTAAGTATTTAATTATACATGTAAATCCACATATTTTATAAAAGTCATGAATTTGTATAATGCAATATAGTATCACTTTGTAAAAAAGCTTTATTCTTATTAAACCCTTACTTTTGATGCATGATTATTGTTGAACATATATGGGATGTAAAATCAAGCACATGAGAGCGCATCGGAAGAAAAAAAGTTTGTTGGCTAAAATGTCATTTTCCCATTGTAACTTACCACCCTAATAAATCTTTCAACTCCACTATCTCCATCTTTTTTCTTTCATTATAACATCTCTCTTCCATTTCTTTCTTTTTAATATTGATTTTTGAAAAAAAAAAGTATTTCCTTTATAAAATGACACCATATATTTGTGGATTATTGGTAAATTAAAGATCAGCACCTTTTGCACGTAATTTATCAGTAATCAGTATATTAAATGACTATTGATAATTCTAAATCGTAAATTCTATTATAATCGTTAATGAATGATATTGCAAGTCTCCATACGAATTACAAATGTAGTTTCACTGGAATGTTACAAATAAAGACCAATTACCAAATTACTAATATAATTTCATTGGAATATTACAAATAAAGACCGATTAATAGTTTAGGGGGTCATTTTATAATTTTATATTCTAAAAAATATAAACAACATTTATAATTTTATATTCTAAAAATGATAAACAGAAGAAAAGGAAAAGAAAGATGGAGAATGTTTGTTTATTTGTTGTTAATGTCTTTACAATTTTGATTTTGTCAATGATAAAAATAGTTAGATTTAAAGTACTGGTTAAGGAGTTATTGAATCCAACCCTTTAGTTATTACATAAATTAAGTTTTCCCTATTTTTGATTGACTGTAAATGTTATTATGGAAAAATGAATCGAACGTTTAAAAAAAATACAAGGTCCATTTTACCCCTGCCAACAATATTCAGGTAGCTAACAATCCGTAATGAAACTAAGTTATTTAGGTAGCTTACAATGTAAAATATGTTAATGTTAAAACAACTAATTATGAACTACAATGCTAATAAAGGAATGTAAACATACAAACACAACACATAGACATACACACATAACAAACATAGAGAACATAAGTAGTTTCACAAAAGTACAAATCATAGTCAATCCCATGTTATAGCATTGAACTTTTCCAAACAAATAACATATTATAGCATCATATTGTACTACACTTTTTCAAAAAAAAAAGACATCATAACATCATAACGTACTATAGTAGCAGATAAAATTTATTCATTTATCGCCATTTTACATTTCGACATGCTTTCAGATTTATCAATAATAATATATAATAACATGATATTCATAACAAATAGTAATAAAGAAAATATTAGCATACTTTTTCTTCTAGAAATGAGTTAATTAACAGCATATCAAAATGACTACGAATAACAATCTTTAGTGTTCCTTTTATTCATTTCTTCTAACAATAAAAATTATAATCTTATCATTTGCCAAACAAAGAAAATACTTAATTTTTTCGAATATGTAGTTTCACAGGAGTTGTTGGTCCCTGTATAAAAAATAACAATGTACTTTCAAGTATATATATTTATTATACCATCTATTTTAAAGTACAATGCCTTAAAAATAAAAAGTTTTCAATAGAAACATAATTAGTAAACATAAAAGAAAAGTAAGATTATAAAAAGATGACAATTCTGCCCCTAAACAGAAAATAACCATTCCACCCCTACAAATAAAATGACTCTTCTGCCCTTGTATTGTTAACATATAATTATTTTTTAAAGAGTATTCTGACTCGGGAACAAAAATTAAGAAAAGTTTGACAATTTGGTTCAACAATCATAAATTCAAAGTACAAAGCTAAAATTGGTAAAAGTGAAAAACAAAAACTTATTAAAAATGTTTTAAAAGCTTTAATGTTACCATTTGTCAAACAATGAAAATACATAAACTTTTTGAACTATTTCCATTTATTTTCAGGAATGGTCATTCAAAGTACAATGCTATTTCTATATATGATACAAAGTTTGTTGTCCATTTTATATTTTTCTGGAAAATGGTTTGAAACACAACACAATAGAAACACACACAACACACATACACTAACATAATTAAAAATACTTTTGTTTTGGAATGAGAAGTAGACACCCAGTTTAAAAGGATACGAATTAAATGGCAGGTAAATATGAGTAAGTTTTGCAATAACTAGAATTATTTTTCCTGATTTTGTGGGAATATTATGACTGTTTCTATTGTTTAATTGCACCGAATCAGGAATGAACAACCGAATTTTTAAGTAGCACAAGGGCATAACCGGAATTTCAATTTCATATTTTGGGCGGGATAAGAAGCTGGTTGGGGCTTAGGAGATGCCACATGGCATCAACACATATAATATAACCACCTGCAAAACCAAAAGAAACACTGTCTTTGTAAAAAAAAAGGACTATGTTCTAGTTATATAATTAGTCATTCAAAACACCTCTTAGAAAGAAAAAAAATAAGAAAGTTTAACATACAAAAAAATATATTATTTGTGTGAAACGACTTATAATAAATATGGTAAAAACTTGACGTCTTTCTAACTTGAGCCATGAACTTTCATCTAAGCATCTATAAGAACCAACTAAAGATAGCAGCAGCAAATCTTAACATGCATAAAATTTGAAAGCAGAAGCAGCAACAGACCATGACATATATATGCTGAAAATACCCTCCAGCAGGATTGAGACGGATCCAAGGGTATTCCTTGTTAGTGAAAATTACATTGATGATCCTTGTTTTAAAGTATTGTTATTTTTTTCTAGAATCTAATCAAATATGGCCATTTTGGACTTTTTGGTAAATTTGACCATTTTTGTTTTTTTTTTTTTTTTGTCATTTGGATGAGTTAAACATGTTAAAAACGTAGATCCAATTTTCACAAATATAGACCCATATAACGAATATATTTCAAATGTGAATAGATTTCAAATGTTAATATTGGTTGGCAACATCAAGGAAAAAGATGATCACCTGGATGAAGCTTTCAGACTTAGTCCACTCTTTCTCTCTCTAAATCTGAATAGAAAAAGAGCTCTTCAAAGATGATGGCCTACTCTATGACAGACGTTGGTACTCCTCTTTCTCTCTTTAAATCCGAGCAAACTGCCATAAATGTGACCAGAAGTAAAGAGGAACAGAGTAAGGTGATACTTGAAGAACAAATTCCCTTTCTTGATACATAATCATAAATTATTCACTAAATTTTATATTTAAACTGTAAACCCCATTATTTATGGAGACCTACATCTTGATAATGACTTGATTGAAACTTCCCAATAAATCACGCTTATGCACCATGTAGGATAGTACCATAACAGAATCCTTGCTCCAAAAATAAAGAAAAAAATAGCCATGTTTGTATGTGTATGTCGGTACTGTAGAGACAAAGAAATAAAAGGAATACATGAAATTGATTCAATGTGGCATTTTGTCAAACACTTGGCGTGCATTGATGAAAACGATGATAATACCAAGATGCAATTCGATCTTATACATTAAAAATCAAAACCAAAAAGAGATGGATGACATGATATCGATTCAATGATTCCTCACTAAACCATGAGTTGAGGTTGAATAGAGGAACCATCTGATTAATTTCTGAATTGTTATAAAGAAACCTATTAAAGAAAAATCATAACAATTTACAATCAAGAAATTGGAACATTCACATTAACAATTTGTCGTCTCTTCTTCAATCGGACCTGATTGCTTAGTCATATGTCTTCTTTCTCTAAGTAGGCCCAATCTTAGCATAATCAAACTCAAACTGAAATGTTTAACTGGGAATCCTTCGAAAGTACTGAGAGGGAGTTTTTTGGGAGTGGATTTTGGATTGAAAAAGAGGAAAATAGAAAGAATAGGCCACATAAACATCAGAGTGTGAGAAATATAAGAGAGGAGGAGCGGTGGGGAAATGAATTCAAAGTCGGAGAAGATTTGCTTTCCGATTTATAGTGATTACGTCCTAATTTCATTCAAATCAGTTGTTAATGATATGCGACTCTCAAGGAATATGCCAGACTGGGAGTTGAAGGAAAGGGTATGCTTGGTAATTAACATAGAAACTATAAGCGGGAAAAGTATATGGGGGGATGCCAAGCCAATGACACGTGGATCATAGGTACTGTTTTATTAGAATAGAGAACTTTATCTTTAAAATTTTACACTCTTTTTTTTTGTAGTTTTTTGATATATTGATTTATGTTATGTATTTAAAATTAATGTCAACAAATTTAGTTTATCATATTGATAATTCAAGAAATCTTTCATTTATGATAATATATATATATATATATATATATATATATATATATATACCTTAATAAACATTTATCATGTTTTGCTGAATTTTACTAGGTACATCCCTTAAAGCAGCATTTACAACAACTTTATGCATTACATAATAAGTAATTCGGTCAAACTGATAAGGTAAAGCTAAGCGGGTCTCAAGTGGAACAAACTCTTCCAAAACGTGAATCAGTCAAAATGAAATGGGGGCATTTCCTCACATTCAGCAGATGGAATCGGTCAACAAGAGGTACACTCTATATTGCATCTCCTCTCTCATTTCAGTCAACACGATGTTGCCTTCAACTATTCACCATCGCCATCTCTCTTTAACATTCCCCCCTTCTTTCCTCTCTTAAATCCAGAAAACCCAGATGCCCTCTTCAACCTCCGTCCTCCAGAAAACCCATATGCCCTTCCTTATCTCAGACTTCTCATTTTCTCCCACCGACCCAGTTAAGGTTCCACATCTGCCCTCCTCCGCCTACGTCTCTAACACCGAACCACCTCCTTCAAACGATGCGCTGTTTGCTACCATCTACTGCCACCGGCCACCAACACACTTCCGCCGTTGCTACACGTCAGTAAGATCTCTCTCTATCTTTATTCAACCATCAGGATCTCAGTGTTGTCCTCATAGACATCACCCTCTCAAAACCTAAGGTTCTATGTGCCGTCGCTTCATCCATTAAAACGATGTTGACTCCTCGTTGATTGAAGGCAGATGAATTTAATCCATGTAGCTTTTCTTTAATATTTTGCGTTTTTGGTTCTAATTGGGAACTAAATCTTGATTAAACCCAAAAAACTGTATGTGGGTTGATCTAAATCTGTGTTTGAAGGTCAGATATGGTATGATTTTGCTTTGTTTTGATGTGGCTCATTCCCTTATCTCGAAATTTCCTCACATCTCTGTAGTTTCTGTTCATTGTTGATATAAACTTGAAGACACATTCAAATCAGTGCCTCTCCATCAATGATTATCGTCTAAACCTCCACCGCCGACCAAAAAGAAGTCATTTTTGCATTTGGTTCATCAGGTTTGTTTATTTTACCGATTTTGTATTTTTTTTGTTTAGGGCAAACTAAATCATACCATATATCCTCTCTATCTCACTTGATCTATGTCTCTTGAAGAACCACTGTACCACTGCCATTCTCTGCTCAGGTAAAAAAACGTCTTTTTCGTCTCTTATATTGAACAAATTATAACTGAATTTCCTTTTCATCTCTTATATTGAAGAAATCCCAACTAGATTTCGTTTTGATCTCTTTATATGTTTCAAATCTTCACCTTTCTCCACCTGCCCTGCACCTCCAGTACCGCCGACCACTCCCACCATCTATTATCGTTAGAGAGACCTAATCGAAACCACTCACTAACTCACTCATGCTACAAACGTAATCAGCATAACTCCACTTACATGTTATAATTTATATAACATCTCTCTCACCCTCTCTCACCATCGATTCAAATTTGAGCCAGCCTGATCGTGTATTTTTAACTCTAATTGAATGTTTTTGTGTTTTTCACTTTGGTCTGGTGGTTTCTGATGTTGGTTTTGGAAGATAATTGACTATACCTTGGTGGGTCCACACGATCTGATTTGGTAACTTTCATTTTATGCGAACTAGGTATGTTTCTTATTCTTCTTCTGATGACACACATGATCTATTTTGGCATTTGAACAATCTATTCATCTTTGGGTTTCTTCAAGATAAAAAAAGAAGTTATTTGTATTTGGATTCAGGTTTTGCAAACAAATCTTAGATTTTGTTTACCCATATACTTTTTATTTTTGGTTCGATTTATTTCCAATCGTAGTTCCTACAAATGCTTTTGATTTTAGGGTCCATCCATACCGTGTTATAGTTATTGATTTCTTTCGAGAACAAGAAGGCTAGAAAGTCACAGCCATTAACCGCCCTCTTCACCCAGGTTTCTAACTATGTTGTTGTCGATTTTAAATTTCGTTTTAGTTTTTGATTTTCAAGATTTTTTTTTGATTGGTATGAATTTGAATGATTCCAGTGCTTTAATTCGAACGCATGTTTAGGCTTTCTTTCAAAAATTTGGTTCATGTGTTCTTAGTGGTATTAGGAACATTTGGGTTTGATTTATAGGTATATGTTTTATTTCAAACTATCTGTATAGGATCTGTTTAACTTTGTGTGTGTGTGTGTGTGTGTGTGTGTTTTACAGTCTATTTTCTGGTTTGGATTTGCAGGTAAACAAATTTCACCAGCAACAAGTATCACTAGACACTTTTATATGACTTTTTGCAATTGGGGAATTACTTCAATTCTATTCAATGGCTGTTTGACCTAACCCAATCAAGTTATGGTACTTCCTGCTATTGAAGCATTTAAATAAGTCATGTTGCAAAATTTCTCATGGGAACCTGCTACTAAACAACCACCACCATCGATTTTATCTTTAAGCAAGGCCTTGATCGATTCCTATTTCTTGGTATGATTGCAATAGTAAGTAATATTTATGTCTTTTGTTGTATCTAAACTTAATCCTGATTATTTGAATCTTCAAATCAACTATTTTAGTAAAAAATCACAGGTTTTGAATTGGATATGGTTCTTTTCAGATAAACTTTTAGATTTATTGATTTTTGATCTTTTTCAAAGAAACTATTAGTTTTCTATTCATATGTACTGACATTTAGAAAACTTGAAATAACCATCGACAATGGAGGTATATGTTTATGTGTTGATTTATTGTGTTGAATTGAAGATTAAACCAACATCCAACAAAAATAATTTCTTTGAACATTATTTTCTTGCTTATTTATGTCTTTTGCTGTATCTAAACTTAATCCTGATTATTTGAACATTATTTGAATCGATTCCCATCAAGGGTTCATTATTTCCTTTTCTCAAATGTTCTTTTCTTGCTTCAAAGTTTCATTTATTAATCATCCTTTTCTTGAAATGTTGATTTAAAAGAACTAACAAAGTTTTGGTTCTTTACAGATTTATATAATAAAGGAATAAAATAGGTAGCTAACGAGTTCTATCGTTTCTTATGAAATAATTACGTAAAAATTTTAAATCAACTTTTTTTGCTTGATGATACAGGTGTATAAAAGTTATTTAACCCAATGGAAAAGAAAAAAAGAATAGATGAGAGGGCTACAACTTTTTTTTTTTTACAAAATAACCTTGTGAGCTTGTGTATTATGTGTGCAGGCAATAGAGGGTTGGATTGATGATGGAAGTATAATTGCAGGTCAATGGTGGAAAGTGGACTACAGAATGGTTAGAGAAAATATGATTGAAAAAGTATGGGACAGTTATCATGATGTCAAATTGAAATATAGAATCTTGATATGGTAAACTTTGGGCATTGTAGTTTGCAATCTGACTCCCAAAATCACTAAATCCTCTAGGTATGCTACACATATGATCTTTTTTTTAACCTTATTACCAGTTAATTTGGTTTGGTGTAAGTATTTGTTGAATCTTTAAATTTGATTATGCTCATAATTTTAATTGATAAACAGATCATGGAACTTCAAGCATCTGAAAGAGGATGATTACATGGAAGCAATTGATGATAAATGATTCGATGATAAGTGAAAGGTTTAGCCATGTATCATGACTATTTTAATATTTGAAAACCCCAATACCTGTTGTCTCATGGTTTCATGTTTCTTTTGTAGTTGGTATATATAAGCAAATGCCCTTTGTTTCCCAACTTTTTCATGGTATTAAGCATAAGCATGTTATATAAATTATATAAATATGAATTCTCTTTTTTTTGCAGAGTTGGTGAACGGTTACAAGGCTTATGAAAAAACAACAGCACTCAAAGAATTAACAGATCTTTTGAAAAAACTGGCCATGGGCAAAAATGTCAACACCAAAAATGCACCAGAACTAGCTATTGGGTTACGTGGATATGCACAAAGAGATCTGTTGATTGAGTTTTATTGAGATGATGACACAAATAAGAAGTGTCTTAAGTGGTTATCATCTATCTAAACTTACATATAGGACCTACAAAAACAATATAGTTTTGTTGAACTTTTTTAAAATATTTCTGTATATTCTCATATTTTCTCTTCAATTCCTTTTCTTTCTTAGCGTTCCCACCCATACAACGTAATTGGATAAGTCCATACTTGATTTACAAACAAAAATGAAAAAATAATGAAAATAGAATTTAAACATAAAATTTGTAATTGACGTTGTGTATGATCACACTAAAAACATATTATATTCACAAATTGACGAAGATCAGATTAATTGGGAGTTGACTGAGTTTTAAATGTATATATTTTATAATCTTTTTAGTATTGGTCGTTGCTATTTGTTTTCTATCTTTTTGGATTATTCTATATAAATGTTGTTTTTTCTCCGCTAGATAGTTAAATTTCAATTTTGGAGTCATATAAAGGAATCTTATATGTACAAACATACATAGCGAAAGAATTTGTGGTTGATTTAGTTACATATAATCGGATACACATCCTTGAAATTTTATCCGGTCCGATAGTATAATTAAATAAAAGTAGTTAGTTTCAATCGATAAGAACATTACAAGGCGGAAGAAAACACATAATAAGAAATTTGAATTTATTAGATTTGATTTATATAAAACTATGTATTTTTTATGGTTCTATATCTATTATTAAATACACAACAACCACATATTTCCCAAACTCATTCTACATACAACTCACTCTATATTAAAATTCCTCTTAATCTTGAAAATAACTCGGTCTGCAAGATTACAAGACAAAGTGGTACTGCTCAACTGCTTCAGACTGCAAAAGTAATCATATGGGACAAAGCATCGATGGCTAAAAGACATGCGTCAGAGGTGGTTGACCAAATAATGAAATATATCACTGGGGTGAGGTTCCCATTTGGTGGAACGAGGGTATGTTTACCAATGATTCCTCTACGTCCGTCTAAAGATGACATGTTCACATTCAAGCTGAAGAGAAAACAATTTCCAATTCGATTATTTTTCACTATGAAAATCAATAAAGCTCGGGGACAAACAATTCCATATATAGGTATTTACCAGAATCGATTTCTCGCATGACCAACTTTAGATGACATTATTCAAAGGGATATCATGTGTCAATACAAAAGTATTAGTGAAACATGACAAACAATTCATCGGCAGTGAAGTCTATATACATCAAATGTGGTGTATAAAAAATGTTGCACGATTAATAATGCACAATCAATCATGTGTTCGTACATTTGTAAAGAATCCAAACTTTTCATTTTTAATTCTTATTTATTTCGTTTTTGGTAGCATGACTTTTATCGATAACTGTTTATATGTAATAAACTATTTACACAAAAATTAATCGTCTCTAGAAACTAGTTTCAGAAAAACTATTCGCACACGTCGCTTGGCGCGGGTAAACGGCTAGTATATATATATATATATATATATATATATATATATATATATATATATATATATATATAGAGTTATGTTCCAATGAGAACATTTTTCCAGTGAGAACATTTGAGAACATTTTTTAGAAACACGCGTGTTTGTTATTCAAATACAAATTACCCACGTAACTTCCCCCACCATATTATGTCATTCTCTCCCCACCATATTATGCCACCATGGGTGCCGGAAACCATTATTATCGCCGGAGATCAATCGATAACAACCGGAGATCTCTTCGTCACATCACCACCTTCGGAGGCCAGATCTCTTCGTTGCTTCCCCCACCATATAACCTCTTAGAAGATGTTGAAATGAAAGAACAACAAGTTCTAGCATCTCCTTCAAATTCGGTTTCATCTATGACTCCTTCCGTGTTACAGTGTAAGAATCTATCTAAATTTTGATCTCTATGATTGTTTGTTTGATCATATTTTTTTATTATTGATGGATTTGATTTCGATAATGTGTTATTAATCGATTGATTTTAGAAAAGATATGTGTATACGCTTTAGGAACGAACGCAAGCTTTGTTTATTATCTACTGTTTCGAATTGAGAATCCGAATACGTTAATCATGTGAAATTGGCTCACGGATTTAAAAGAAATCACGACACTGATTAAGATCGGAGCTTCTTCTCGTGAAGTTGTCGCATTTTGAGAGCTATTAGACTCACAATTGTGTTGGGGAGGAAGTTAAATGCTTCTGTGATTTCATATCTTCCAAAGGTAGGTTATTTTTTACTTTTATATATCTTAACATCCATCGAATTTCAATCAATTTATTAATATCTATAATTACACACACAATCACAATAGCTAGTAAAGTTGATATTTGTATAGATTTTTTATGAACAACAAGTGTTCGATGAAATGCCTCAATGAAAAAGTAGCATTTTATGTGAAAATCCTTAACTTTGAACCCTCATTAAGCCACGCATTAAGGCCCTTAGGTTAAATTGAATTTCATATCTTAATAGCCTAATAAGTAACCAACAATCATATAAAAAGTGATAAACTTAAGGCTTAACCATTAAGTCCTTAATAGAACACCAAAAGTGATTTAAAAGCTATTATGATCAATTTTCCCAAATCTGTCCTCCAACTTCTAAAATTCGTGCAGGTCAATAAGAACATCTAAAAATCATGAGACTTAGTTTTCTGGAAATCTTAGTTTGTCTAGTTTCTTCAAACTTTGAATCACATTTCGAAATTCCAACTCCTTGAGGGGTAAAATTGGCAATCTTCTTAGGCTGGTCCATGTTGTCACAGATTTCATGCATTGTCTTGAAAAAGTCATAATAAATTCATTAGAGCTCCAAATGCTAAAATTCCAAATCCTATAATTAGATATGTATGTATAGTTTCCCACATATAAAGGTACTGATGTAATTCTTGGTAGATTGGTACAGTTTATTCCAAGAGTGTGACAACCGTCAAATTCTGGTCAAGTCAAAGTCAAATAAAGTCAACAAGTCAAACCGGTCAACTCTACTAACTCTTGTATAGTAGGGTTTACGTTATGTAATTATTGTACAATTCGCTATTTTAATAAGAAGTCATCAATTGGAAAGTTCGTATGTGTAGGATTCTTGAGCCCTAATCGGGGTAAGTGATGTAGCAAAGCGATAAAACACTATTACATACCCTTCGGGGGTGTGTGAGACTCTTAAACATGGCTTAACGGGGTTTACGGACCTTGCGTTACAAAGCCAAACACTCAAAAAGGTCACAAAAGAAGTCTCTCCCAATCTCTTTCACTCAATCTCTCCAAGTATGTGAAATCTCTCCCAAATCTCTCTAAGTATGCCAAATCTCTCCAAGTATGTGAAATCTCTCCCAAATCTCTCTAAGTATGCCAAATCTCTCCAAGTATGTGAAATCTCTCCCAAATCTCTCTAAGTATGCAAAATCTCTCCAAGTATGTGAAATCTCTCCCAAATCTCTCTAAGTATGCCAAATCTCTCCAAGTATGTGAAATCTCTCCCAAATCTCTCTAAGTATGCCAAATCTCTCTAAGTATGTCAAATCTCTCCCAAATCTCTCTCAACTTCTTATAATCACTCGGGGCATCCCGACCCTTAATTTAGTCGAAAACCGCTCGAAAACGGAAGTTTATGCGAAAAACAGCCTTAAGGAGCCGAACCCTCTTAAGGAGCCGAACCTTCTTAGGAACCGAACCTCTCTTAAGTAGCCGAACCTTCTTAGGAACCGAACCTCCCTTAAGGAACCGAAACCTCTTGAGAACCGAAACCACCTTCCTGAACCGAACCTACTAAGAGACCGAAACTCCACCTTCGGTCCGAGAGTGCCACCTTCGGTCCGAGAATACTACCTTCGGTCCCTTCTGATGAGTCGCCTACGAGATCTCTCGGTTCCAATACAACCGAACCCTACTCTCGGTTCCCATCTACTTTAGGTTCTAGTGGCTAGGACCGAACCTCCGACCCTGAACTTCGGAAATTCGCAACTTTTACCCGGTTTTCAATATTTTTAGCGTTTTGAGCCTGTTTTTCGTGATTTTAACGCGGGATTTTCACCCACACTTATATTTTGACATATAAGACCCCATATTTTCATAATCTAATCACATTTTGAGGGTAATCAATATCTAAGACTAAAAATATAGTGGGTAAGATATGGAGTGAAGTGTTGACTTATCCTTTGGGCAAGGACACAAGTCACCTCCCATACCCACTCCAAGACCATCCCTAGTTACTATTCCACCATACCTGGTCATTTCATTGTCCTTTTCCCACTCTTTTCAGCCAAGTGCCTTGACATAAGGATAGTAAGACCCTCATCTCTCCTCCCATTTCACTCACACTTCACCAAAAAGCAAAAACTCATTCTCTCTCACTATCTCTCTCTAATATCGAAAAGTCTAAGGCTGATCAAAAGCTCTTCATCTACTCCTAGTAAGTAATATCACTCCTCATATGATTATTTCTCCTTCTTTCTACCTAAATCATAGATATCTTACACAAACATCATCATATGTGTGTTAGATCTTCGAATCTTCAAGCATCTTCTAAGTGTTCTTGAGTTGAACACCTAATTTCTTCATCATCCATCCTCTGAAATCACTCAAGGTGAGTTCATACCCTTATCTTTTCATGTTTTTCTTAAGTTTTAAGGGGGGGGGGGGGGAATACAAGTTAAAACACCAAGAACACAACTAAACTCACCCAACAGCTTTCATGAGAAAAGTTTAACTCCATTCACGAACTGTTTTGGTCAACTTAAACATTTTAGTTTTCAAAACTGTATTAGGTGCAAATAGTTCAGGTTCATACCTTTAAAATGACTACTTGCACATCACCATACGATTTTTCTACAATTTATGGTGATTTTTACAAAACTGCCTATCATTTCAAGAACAAATCCGGACCAGTCTGTGAATATGGACTTTTTCACACAAGTGAGAAGCCACTAAAAATCATAATAAAATTTATGAACAAACTAGACACATTTTCCAAACTCTCAGAATTTACAGATTCTGATTTGGACTTTTAATGATTTTTCTATGAATCTTCTAAAAACATGAATAGAAATGTTAACACTAGAAAAATGTTATCTATTTCACTTACACCTTGTAACTTGTTGAGCAAGGTGTGTATCATTATGTGCATATATGTGTTATATTATATGTCATTTTGTCTTGGGATATAGACATACAATAGAAAACAAATGGATTTTTACCTCCACAAATATGGTA